TGTGGTCATGTGACCGGCATGACTAAACACCAAGGCGCACGGAACGCTGTTACCTTCCCACCGAAGTGGTACCTATTTATCTACTTGCAATTTCTTGCTTTCGAACTGCTTGGTTGACAGGAGAGAGGAAGATACTGCTCCTTAATAGAGGAGGATGAAGTTGGTTCCTTATTTGCACTTCCTTATTCATTCCTTATTGTTACTTATTCGTATAGTCATTCAGAAACACTAAGGAGAGTGAGTTGGAAAGCTCTGAACCCCAAAATAAGCTCTGAACCACCACATATCATATACCGCCACATTCACAGGACTCTCCCCTTCAAGGGGACACATTCTGTGTGCTGGTCCAAAGCGTGGTTCCGGTGCCAGTTGCTCCAATGTGCGGTGCCCCCAGGACAAACACACAGGCAGACACTGGGGCCAGACTGCCCCCCCCAATATTTGGAACACCCCAAATGACACATCGCCACGCTCTGGAGACTGTGCCCTGCAAGGTGACATACAGTGCTGCCCGATCCAAACACCGGTTCTGATGCCAGGAGCTTCTGTTCGCAGGGCTTCCCCAAGGCCTGTATTTCAAAATATGGGGGTGTATGAAGTGTGGGGGTCCAAACCTTATTTTGGGTGCAGGGGGCACTTCCTTATTCAAATCTCCTTTGGAATACAGGCCTTGGGGAAGCCCTGCGAATAGAAGCTCCTGGCATCAGAACCGGTGTTTGGACCGGGCATCACTGTATGTCACCTTGCAGGGCACAGTCTCCAGAGTGTGGCGATGTGTCATTTGGGGTGTTCCAAATATTTTTTTGGGGGGGCAGTCTGGCCCCAGTGTCTGCCTGTGTGTTTGTCCTGGGGGCACCACACTTTGACAAGATGACAAGGTGTGTTACTTTCAAATACAGCAGGACATTTCAAACCGGTGTCAGGTCAAAGTTCCTGAAGTGTTTTTGTCAACGTCCCACATCCTCATTACCATGAAGGAGGAAGTGTATCTTTTTCAAATGGAGTGTTACTTCCTGTTTCGTCCCTATAAATACTGCTTTCTCCCTTCTCAGGGGGAACGGGACCCAGCAGGGGCACTAAACTCTTGAGCTGTTTTTAAAATAGCAGGAATCTGAAGTTGGTATCTATTTTTAATGTTTTAACATAACACTTCTTGGAGAGCCAGCCAAGCTGACTTTGCCCTAAAGGAATTAAAAACACCTTTCTGCTGCCAAAGACCATGGGCCTACTCTAAGCTTCTGTGGGCGACCAATTAAGATGAGCTGGATGTGGTATGTCCTGTACATTTCCAGTGGAGGAATTCAGCAAGGTGAACGTTCGCTGTACTAGATCCAGATTCATCATCCAGCAGTTAGATTACCCCACGGTACAGTCCTAAGCAGCGTTACACCTTTCCGTTGAAGTCAGTGGGCCAAGCAAGGTGTAATTCTGTATGAGGCTGCAGTGCAGGGTAATCTTAAGGCCTTTTCACACTGTAAAGCCGTGTTCCTAAGCTTTTATGTGTATATCTAAAAAGACATATTAATACACAGAAGGTATGTATAAGTCAGTATTGGTGAGAGAGAAGCAGTACCTGTGAAATATTTTTTCTTTGGACAGTTGCTTGTTTGCTGTATGTAAGACTCAGTTGTTAATATTGGTGAGAGATAAGCAATACCTGCGAAGGATCTTTTTCTCTGGATAGTTGCTTGTTCGCTCTACATTGCCACCAAGGTGCTGAAATACCTATGTTTGAGGTTGGATTGCAGTTATGGAGCCGGCATAATTCAGTGTTTTTCCATACTTCCCCCCTGTAAGCCCTTTGCAGATAAAAAGATAATTAAAAAACAACAACCACCAATTTTTAAATCTACCTTTCTGCCCATACAAGGGCAACCAAGGTGGCTAGCAATATAAAGCCACATTTTAAAACCATTAAGATCAACCCCTCCAATGCACATCATTAAAACAATTTTTAAAAGTCTTAAAATACGTACGACACATTAAAACAGTGATTAAAACCTTAGTAAGGAAGGACTAATCGCTGAGGGATTGCCAAACGAACCAGAAAAGTCTTCATCTCATGACAGAAGATGGCAAAAGAAGGAGACAGGTGAATCTTCCTTGGCTGCTGTTTATGACTTTGTTTATAAAAACAATAAGAAGTAAAGTAAAGCAGTCTTTACTTTCTCTTGTCAGTGAGAATGTCTTCCACAGAAGCCCTCTTCAAACAACGTAAGGCGTGTAGAAATCAACATGGGGAAATGGGCACAAGCACGCTGGCCAGCTCCTAAGCATCATGTCTGTGTGTACCGAGTATATTCATGTCCCCATGGTCTGGGCAGTGCTACCCAGCAGCAGGCCCCTGGGGGAAGAAGCCTGCATGCATGCACTTTTATGTATGGGTAGATGCTAGGTTGCCAGGCATGGCCTAGCAACCAGCGAGAGACTGGGGGGGGGGGCAGCCAAGGGCAACTTAAAACCATAGAGTTTCTGGCGAGTGCTAGAGAGGTCCAATGGCAGTTCTGGGTTTTCCCAGGAAATGATGTTACCCCATCAGCCTTGATGGCCATTAAAAACCCAAAAATTCCTGCCATGTGGCAGGAGAGGAAAAACAGGGGCTGGCAATGTGGGCAGATACCATACTCATGAGCCAGCAGTCACATGTCCAGTAGGGGCCAGCACAATCATGCCTCCCTCCCCCTCTGCGCATGGATTTCTCTGCACCTTATGTCTTTTGAAGAGGGCGTGACAGAGGTGAAAACTATGGAGGCACAGCATTTTGCTTCCTACAGGCTGAGAATGTAAAGAACATAATCAAAACGCTTTGTATTCTGCTTGTACTGCTGTTAAACCTAGTCTATTTTATGCCTTATGTGGACTGCTGTAGCCATGGTGGTACGTGATGTTGGCCCATACTGCCTGTCTTTCACTCTTGATAGGAGGGTAATTAGGCCTAGAAACATTATCATTATCCGCCAGTGCTCTGTTTGAAACAACCTGCTTCTTGTTTTGTAACACAGTTGAGTTAATTACCTCATCTCCAAATCAAGTCTTCTAACCTTCAAGCTGTGTGTTTCTCACTCTCCTTTTGATGCTCTAAAATGGAAGAGGGTAGTCTTAGAATTCTTGCAGGCTTCGATTTAAGCTGCCCCCAAAGTCCTCCAGTATATACCGATAGGGAATGCCATAAGCAATCTGCTTGTGTCCATATTGGCTCCTGTTGAAACCAGCTCCGCTTCTTTTTTGAGACACACGGGGGTTTAGAAGAAGCCACAGTGAGGGGGGGGGAGTAGTTATGGTATAAACTGACCCCCTCTTCGATTTGGATTTAAATCTACTATACTCAGAGTTTCGACAGCCCTTACTGATCTACTGTGTACAATATACAAAATGCAGGTCTCCTTATGTCTCCTCACGGGGGCCTTTGGTACATTAGATTTAAAAACGGGGGGGGGGCTAATGAAATTCCGAGTGGGCCGTGGGGCAATACCTTTTCTTTTGGAGATTCCTTTTAGATAGACTCAGATCCTTATGTGTGCTCTGTGTCACATAAAGATCAGGCCTGTTTAAAACAAAGGAGTGTTGACCTTCCAACCTTCTCCATGCCTGTGGCGGCTTTCGAGACCCTTTGTTTGCTTTTAAGCGGGTAGGTGACATTGCTCCCTGGATTTCCAGTTATCCTCATTCATCTTATCACCACATAAAAGAGGGATTTTTCTTTCTTTAATTGCTCTGCCTTTATCTTTAAGTTAGGCTGCTCTCTGTATGAGACTTTAAAAAAGTGAATAAAACATTTTACCCTGGTTAAAGCCACAAAATAAAAGGTATTTGCGCACTTCTTTCTTAATGGGAGGTGCCGTGGATGGATGCTTCAAAACAGCAGAGTAAAAAAAGAAGTCTCTGGTCCCTTAAAGACTGACAAAACGTATTTCTCCGATGGATTGAGCTATGAGTCATGAAAGCTTATTGAGGAATAAATATTAGTCTTTAAGGTACCACTGAACTTCTGTTTTCTTCTGCTGCATTAGAGTAAGACAGCTGCCTCTCTGGAATGGTTAAAATAGTAGTTACCGAAAGTGACATTTCTGCTAAATATTAAGCCAGGTATTCTTGTTTAAAAAAGAAAAAAAACTTTTAACTCAACTGATCAGTTTACCAGTCCAGATAAATCTCTCTTTTAAATAACACAGCCTTATAGGCTCTTTTTTCCCTTCCATCTGAGTAAATGTATACTATATATTCCATCAAACTGGAAATGAAGTGAATTTTTCTTACTCTCATAGGGGACTGGTAGGCCATTCTTCCTATATTCTTTATCTTCTAAATTCTCCTGTTTCTGCAGTCTCCAAAATTTGTATGGCTATTCAATCACTGACGGAGCAATGGCCAATTTCCCAAAACATGGCTTAGACAGTTTTTTCTGCCACTCAAGTTCACCGGACTGTAAAGTCACTGAGAGTTACATAGACTCCAGTGGAACTAGAGGACTGGATTAGGGTTGTCAACTCCATTTTGGGAAATTCCTGAAGATTTGGGAGTGAAGGCAGGAGAGGAGAGGGTTTGGGGAGGGGAAGGACCTCAACAGGGTATGATGCTATAAAGCAGCCATTGTCTCCAGGGGAATTGGTCGACTGAAGATCGACTAAAATTGTGCAATCTTAGGATGCATTCACAGAAGCCTTGTGTACAGATCACGGGAGGTGGTCGTTCCGCTCTATTCTGCTATGGTCAGGCCTCGCCTGGAGTCCTGTGTCCAGTTTTGGGCACCACGTTCCCCCCCCCACACACACACGGGTTGTACCTCGGGGTCTTGTGAGCAGCACTTCATGGAGATCAGTGGGAGGTGTGGAGGTAGGAAAATTCAATTCTGCTGATGGAAAATTTAGTTTGGATCCAACCTAGGCTTGCTTGTGGAAAGGAACCCAAAGAACCCATCCACTCTGTCCTATATAGTACCCTATATCGTCTCCCCTCATGTTTCCTTGTTTATTTTCACTGCTGTGTTTCCTTCTCTTCAGCAAAGTGAGCTGAACTCCTTCCTGTGGACTATAAAGAGAGATCCACCATCTTACTTTTTTGGCACGATTCACGTCCCATATACCCGGGTCTGGGATTTTATCCCCGAGAATTCCAAGAAAGCCTTCCAGCAAAGCCATATTGTCTACTTTGAGCTGGACCTCACAGATCCTTACACGATCTCTGCCCTTACCAGTTGCCAGCTCCTGCCGCAGGGTGAGAACCTTCAGGACGTGCTCCCCAGGGACATTTACCGTCGGCTCAAGCGCCACTTGGAATATGTCAAGCTTATGATGCCATCTTGGATGACTCCAGACCAACGGGGCAAAGGACTGTACGCTGACTATCTCTTCAATGCTATTGCGGGCAACTGGGAGAGGAAAAGACCCGTGTGGGTAATGTTGATGGTGAACTCTCTGACAGAGGTGGACATTAAGTCCCGTGGCGTGCCAGTCTTGGATCTCTACCTTGCCCAAGAAGCAGAACGTCTCCGAAAGCAGACTGGGGCAGTAGAAAAAGTAGAGGAACAGTGCCATCCGTTGAATGGTCTGAATTTTTCTCAGGTAAGCAAGCTGAAACTATCTGTGCGTTTGTAATCCTCAGGGAGTAAGCCACAGGTTCCTGCCTCAGTGGAGCAGGTACAGCAAAGAGGGCAACAGTGTTTGGGCCCGCTTTTTTCTGTTGAGAGTTTTGGGACGCAATTTAGGAGAAGCGTTCTGGTATCATAAAAGAAGCAAATGGAGATCGACGTTCCTTTTGGGCCCAAGGAGGCTGATTCTGTACATTTCTGTCGTTTCAGGGGTAGGTTGCCATGTTGGCCTGCAGTAGAACAGCCAGATTCAATAGCACCTTTCGAAACCAACAAGGTCTTGGGGATATAACCTTTCGAGAGTCAAAGCTCCCTTCATCAGATATAAGTTGGAATGGAGCTCTCCAAGCCCTTATATCCCAGTCAGAAGGTGGGAAGGGTATTGCAGAGAGGGGACTCAGGATGCAGAGGTACAATGCACACTGTAAGTAGCTTGATTAGAGCAGAGGGCTGTAATGACTGCGATAGCCTGCGTAGCGGGGAGGGCGGGGTATAAATTGAATTAAATAAATAAATAAATATAAGAACTCTGAGCTCTCCATTCTGATTTATCTGATGAAGGGAGCTTTGACGCTCAGAAACCTGTACCCTGAATATCTTGTTGGTCTCTAAGAGTGCTTCTGGAGTTGAATAAAAAAGTGTCTGCTTATCAAGTTCAATAGGTGAAAAAATTGCTTCCTAAGACTGTGCAGGACTTAACAGATATTTTTCTTTTCTTATTAGTCAGTGCTGCAGTTTTAAATCTGAAACCGAAAAAGGCCACTTGACAGTCAACGTATTTGATATTAAAACAGAACCCTTGCACTCTTTGTACATTGTCGTCATACGCATTATAGCACATTAATTGTGGGGGGGGGAACTAGTCGTATTTAAACAACACAGATTTCTTTGAAAATCTGTTGCATACATCTACAGGCTACACAGAAATTATTATCTAATGCTGCAGGTTGTTCTTCATAAAAATATTTATTGTATTTCTGAATCTGTCACCCCATGCAGACAGACAAACCCACAGAATGGGGCCAAGTCCCCCCCCCCCCGAACAATATGAAAAAAATGGAAAGGGGTTCAATCCCCTCCAAAGTGTAGGCAGTGTTAGGGAGTGTCCCCTTTGTGGGGGCGGGGCAGGCAGAGGAACAAGAGCAGGGGCTGCCACCAGTGCTTCCTCTAAGCTGTGGCGTCTTGTGAGCAAAAATTCTACTCTGTGAACTACTGGCATTAAAGTTGTGAGCCAGCGATTTGATTACTGCATAAATTAGTTTGCTCTGGAGCCATCCTTCCTGAGCTAAGACAAAAATGCGTGAGCCGGAGGCTAAAAAACTCAGCTTAGAGGGAACACTGGCTGCCACTACCACCTAAGCTGGGTGAGAGGAGAGAGCCAGAACTGCATGTACCAGGCGGGTGGGCAAGAGGAAAGGACAGCTGGAGCTGATGCCAGGCAGGGGGCCAGGCAGGGGGCAGTAGTGGTGCTGTGGGTGGCATAGTGAGTGAGTGGCGGGCGGGAGTGGGGCAAGGAGGATTCCTCCCCCATGAATCTTATGGGTCCCCTGCTTTTATTTGAGTGAGGAAAACCTTTATCTTGAAAAGTGTTCCACTCATTTCAGAGGAGAAAGTATTTCACAGGAGTGTGTGCTCTTCTAAGAGCTCCCCTAAATTGTGAAAAGTTGAAAGAAAAGTACTCAGGTGGAAAGAAACAACAACAAAAAAGTTTTTCTCTTAATATTTCCTGGAGGCTGGAGGGGGGTTCACATCGCTAATCCAAGCCAATGCTCTCTTTTCATTCTCTTAAAGTACTAGGAACAAATATCCCCAATCCCACAGTAGTAGTATTTCAGTCATAGAAATGTAATAAAGAAATGGAACCTTGTGCAGACTTGAAGGGGGGGGGGGGAACTGGAATATGCACTCCAACACTGGACATCAGGAAAATGTTTCCTTTTATGAAAAATATTAGGTATTGACAGAGGACTGCTTTAAATGGAAAATGTTTTAATACGTGGGGGGTGGAGACGACGACTGGAATATGCACTCCAACACTGGACATCAGGAAAATGTTTCCTTTTATGAAAAATATTAGGTACTGACAGAGGACTGCTTTAAATGGAAAATGTTTTAATACGTTTTGTTGCTTTTAAAGGAACGACGTGAGCTTTTTTTGTGGCATTATAGGTAACTTTTTATAGGCATGCCCCAGTAGACATGTGGTTACAGTTCTTTAGGGAGGAAAATGTTTAAACTAATTGTGTAGGTATCATGAGGTTAAGATGGGATTTGTGTGTCCTCTCACAGTCTTAAAGTCGTAGGCCTTGCCCCTAGAGCTACAGCCATTGGCCACAGAACAATATATAAAAAACTTTGTCCGGACCACAGTTGTGTGGGGGAAGAAAATTGGCTTTGTGGGTTTACTGCTTAAATTATAGCTGCCAACCTCCAGGTGAAGCTTTGAAATCTCCCAGTATTACAACTGATCAGTTGTTCAGAGATCAATTCCCCTGGAGAAGACGGCTGCTTTGGATGGTGGTTTCTATGGTATTATAGCCTGCTGAGGTCCCATCTCCTCAGGTCCTACTCCCAAATCTCCAGAAATTTCTCACCCCAGAGTCGGCAACACTAGTTTGACTGCTGGCCTAGTTAGTCAACCATCATGTGTGGGCTCAGTCTGGGAGAAAACGTTGTATTCTTTTGACTAGAGGGTTACAACTGTACTTGGATTTGCCTTCTCTGTATGAGGCCTGTTGTTGAGGAAGAAGCTGTGTGGTTCATTCATCTTCTGTCTGTCTCTCAGGGTTGTTGTTTTGGGTTTTTTACATGTCTTATTAATTTTTGCCCTGACTTGGATGGTTCAACTAACCTGATTGTCAGATCTCAGAAGATAAGCAGAGTTGGCCCTGGTTAATATTTGGATGGGAGACCACCAAAGAAATCTGGGGTTGCTATGCAGAGGCAGGCAATGGCAAACCACCTCTGAATGTTCCTTGCCGTGAAAACCCTGTGGGATTGCTGTGCATTGGTTGCAACGTGACGTCACTTTCCACCATCGTTATTACTTTTGGACACAATCCAGCCAGAAATCGAACACATTTTTCAGTGTGTGGGATAGAAACTTATGTTTCCATCTCTTCTGCTGAAAACAATGAGACTTGAAGTGCTTTCCTTTGACTGGTTCCTGTCCGTATTCTCTCTCCTGATATTCTTGTCACAGAAACATAACTTAACCCCCCCCCCCCCCCCCCTGGCTTCCATATGTCTGTAACATCTGTTGGAATCCAAGGAACGCTAATGCTAAAATCCATTTTATTCTTTCTCTCAAAAGATTTTTAGATTAGTGAACTGGTACCAACAATGTGCTCCTGTTTCTAGACATTTAGAAAAGGGATATAAAGGTCAATCATCCACATTAAATGCAGGTGCTTTTTTATCCGCTGACTATAACGATTTTCCAACATTTGCTTCTTATTTTCAAGTGGCTGGCCAAAACTCCTGGGGAGGTTGATTCTGTTTCATAGGTAGCTTCACTGGTAGCAATGCCGTTAATAAATCCCAGACTGCTTTTATTAGCCATGTGACAGTCTAAAAGCTCGCAAGCAGTTGAGAAGCAGGGGTTCATTGGGGTTCCCCTCCCTGTACAAAGGTATACAAACAGGCAAGTATCTGTTCTTGTAAACCCCACCTACCGTACTTGCTGTTAGTTAACTCCTAATCACTGCTCTGTGGATGCTGCAGTTTGAAAAGGATGGGGGGGAAATTGCAGGATGTGGTCTTGGGCACAGAATTCAGTATCCAGAAAATCTCAGCTTTCTTCTTCCTCTTCCTCCTCCTCCAATCCTCATGGCTATAAAGATGTGCTCAAAAGTGTATAAGAAATATCTGGTGAGATCTCCAAAGAGTCTTGAAAAGATTTCCACAGTTCTGGGAGAAGGACTTCATTGTCTTGCTAACTCCTTGCCCTATCCCCATGATGAGCAAACCCAGAATAAACGATGCAAAATGTTTGAGGAATCAACATGGGTGGAACCTTTTATTTTCAGCTGCAGAATTTGACTTGCCTGTGCATACACTTTCGTTTGCAGCCCTGATTCTAATCCAGGTCTAAGCAGATCAGCATGTTAAAATTCATCTAGTTCCAGATTTCTTTTTCTTTTTAAACTTAAATTTAAACTTAAAATTAAATTAATTTTCAATACCAACAAACATAGTACAAAAACATGTTTAACTCACAACAATTAATACCAATATTAACTGTTCTTATTCAAATAGCTTTAGTTCCAGATTTCTAAAATCCTGCTGCACTGATTATTGAATGTCCCGTTTCGTTGATTTTACTGACTCACTATGTATAATCTGCCTTGAGTCCCTGTGAGAAGGTGGACTGTAAATAACACAAGCAAATAAAATTTGAAAAGACAGCCATGGCAGGGAGAAGCCTCCCCACGGAGGTTAAGATGACCAACCTCCAGGCAGCATCTGGAGTTTTCCTGGAATACAAATGATCCCTAGACTGCAAAGATCAGTTCCAGATGAGCTCCCTCCCCCCCTCCAAACTCCACTTTCCCGGGCACTGCTCCCAGGTCTCCAGGAATTTCCAAAGACAATCTAAGGACTAGCGATCTGGAGCATCTCCCATGATAGTGGGGAGTGGGCTATCATGCCAGCTGACACCTTCAGATAGGCAGCCAGGCTGGATTATTGACACACCTATGCTGTTACCTTAGGTGGTGAGGAGGAAGGAGGTCCTGGAGGGGTCCTCTTTTGCCAACAGAGCCCAATCCTTGCTTCTGTCCAGTGGCAGGCAGTAGTGGTCTCTCCTGGAACCCAGCAGAGGTTGCTTATTGGAAATTGGTGATGGGTCCTCTCAGTGCAGTGGCAACTCAACGGCTGTTCTGAGTCTTGGCCAGGCCTGTTGGCTCTTGTCTTGGGGAAAGGGCCATGGCTCAGTGGTAGAGCTTCCACTTTGCATGCAAAGGGCCCCAGGTT